TCAATAGACGTATTATTTGATTTGCAAAATTGAGATATGGAAATAAGACTTCTTTTCATGTTAGGAACAAATAAAACATCATGTAATTTAAATGTATGGGAGGGTGCTGTAAGAGAAGAGGAGCCAATTTTGGAAATATGTAACCTAGTAACATCACCGATGATAATGTCGTCAGACCCATCGTATGGAGTATGAAGGGAGAGGTTGCCGAGATCGGTTGTGACATGGTGGGATGCCCCACTGTCGAGAAGCCATATTGGGGTTTTGACATCTGTGCCGAGATCGGTTGTGACATGGTGGGATGCCCCACTGTCGAGAAGCCATATTGGGGTTTTGACATCTGATGCTGTGACAACATGCGCCTTTGGTTGCCACTGAGATCCAGTGTGCGAGGTGTGAGGGACGCCTTGCAAGGAGGTGGACACCAGCTGAAAGAGAGGACACTCAGCGATGGTGTGGCCTTGTTGTCGGCAACCTTGACACTTGCCGAGATACGACCTTTGCTGGCGAGACGCGGCTTGCGAAAACTAAGACGGCTATCGTCTTGGAGCGGGGTGTGAAGATTGCGCCTTGTTGGATGAGGAACGGTTTGAACTATTGTACCTGGTCGACGCAACGTTAACCGTAGCGGGGTGCGAGGTTGAGATGGATTGCGACTGCTGAAGTGCGAGTTCCTTGTTGATGAGTTTCTCATGAAGCTCGTCAAACGAGATGGGGTCCTCCCTACCTTCCACTATATTAGCGATTTGGCGATAGTCATCATCGAGACCTTCTAAGGTTTTCTCAATGATGTCCTCATGATCCATTGGTTTGTCGAGTGTAGCGATTAGTTCAACACTTGACATATTGCATGTAATCCGAAACGGATTGTGATCCCTTCATGGCTCGCTTGATCTGGTCCTTGATTTGCTTGATGTGACCACGTGTCGGGCGAACATAGGTGTTGGCGAGAGTTTGCCATGCTTTGCGGGAGATGGTCACCTGTTGGATGAGAGGGATGAGAGAGGGGGAAATGGAACCCACAAGGATGCCAAACATCAGTTTGTCTTGTCGAGTCAAATGCAAAAAATCTGGGTTGGGAGCTTCAAAGTTGTTGGTGGTGATGGTGCGAGGAGGACATGGATGAGATCCATCTATGTATTTGTAGAGGTCATAGCCGATGAGTATGGCCTCAATCTGAAGTTTCCAAGCAATATAATTTGTGGAGGTCAATTTATGGATGGATTGATGGGAAGTGTTGATGAGTTGGGTGGAGGTCAATTTATGGATGGATTGATGGGAAGTGTTGATGAGTTGAAGGTTTTGGGTTGGATTTTCTGGGTTGGGGATGACAGTGATCTGAGAATCAAGAAGTGTTGATGAGTTGAAGGTTTTGGGTTGGATTTTCTGGGTTGGGGATGACAGTGATCTGAGAATCAATCGTCATAGTGAAGACTGCAGCTAGGGTTTGCAAAAGAGTGGTGGGAGGAGGTTTAGAACAGAAGGTCTAGAATGGCTCTGATACCATGTTAAAATATTAAAATTGCTGAATTATGGCATAGCCTTTTTCATTGATATTAGGAGATATTTATAGGATTACAAGAAAATCATATAGTTATGTAATTGTTAGAACTAAAAGGGGTAAGTGAGCTGTCGAGATATTAACGAAATATCATACAAAAGGAAATAATCACATGGAAATGTCGTCTGACACAACAGGACGTGTCGACTGAGACCGCCTTTTGTGTCGACTCAAAGGGTGTTGACTTAAAGGGTGTCGACTTGTCTCGTCTTGTCTCGTCTCGTCTCGTTTGGTGTCGTCAGATCATGTCGACTGACTCCGTAGGACGTGTCGACTAAGACCGCCTTTCGTGTTGACAGAAGGGGTGTCATCTCGTCTGGACTTGTCTCGTCTCGTGTCGTCCGGTCTCGTGTCGTGTCGTCTGATCTGGTTGTAATTCCTTAATATTATTGATGTATAAGCTTGTCCTAGGATAACAGAGGCAATAGAGAGAAGTGAGTATGAGGCTAACATGTTTTTCGATTGTCGTTCATCTATATGTCATATACACGTAGAAGGCTATGAAGATTACAACAGAAATTCAAATTAATTAGGAGTTGTTTGCTGTGCTGTTTGTCGACCCAATACTCGTGGAGAAGCCTGTTGAGTTGGTCGTCACATTCATGGAGCTAAGAGCAACTCCAATGGAGCGCCAAAACTCCATTTTGGAGTGTTTTGGCGCTCCAATGGAGCGCCAAACACCCCGCTAAATTAGCGGGGTGCTACAGTGTTGCGCCAGAAATGGCGCAACACTGTAGCGATAGCGCAGTTTTTTTTTTTTTTTTTTGCTTTTTTTCGGTGTAAAATTTGGTGTAATGGGTTGGAGATGGAATAGTGATTTGGTGTAAAAACTACACCAACTTGATATAAAAACTACATCATTTTGGGTTTTGTGATTGGAGATGCTCTAACACGCCCCGCAAGATGGAGTCACCATTTATAGCCGGACTGAAAATCTCTGTGCATGTAATCAATGCCGGGGGCATTGATGAAACTCCTTTTGCCACAAGCCTGAGTTTTGAACTTTTGAATTGAACCATCCGGGGGTCTCTTGACTCGAACTACCATTTACAACCCAATAGATTTTGAGTAGTCTTTGGAACAAGTTCCCATGTGTTGTTCCGAAGGAGTGCGTTCAATTCCACAGACATTGTACCATGGCACTCTTTCTGTTCTAGGGCTTGAATGACGCAACTTTGTTCCACCTAAAACGGAAGGGGACATGGACCATATATAGTGACATTGAGTAACATAGGATTGAAAGTAACGACTGCCAGGTTTTCGGTCTCGGGCAGGCCGAGGTCATGGAGGGGGTGGAGGCTGTGGAGGGGAGGCTGTAGATGACAATGGAGATCCCTGATGAAGAGGATGAGGAGACGGTATGAGAAGTGTATATCTGCTTCATCGATTGAGAGTTCCAGAGATACTGGACTTAATGCAGCTTAGATAAGAAAGGGGTAGGGATAATAAGGTGGAGGGAACCAAGCCTCCTCCTCCTCCTCAATGTCGTTCTCCCCGCAATTTAGGGAGGGCACATTACATAGATAGGACGTGGAGGAAGGTTGACTTTTCAATCTCATTCTCAAATGTGTGTCACATCGGCAACATTATCTACTATTCAAAACTATGAAAAGAAGCAGGACATAAGTACCATGTTTACTCATTGTATAATATGTACATTCCCTTCAACAAACTGTTTCGCTGCGGCTATCTCAAGAGCTTTTTCATAGGATATAGGTGAGGGAAGAGCTCCGACGAGCCTCGGTTCTTGCGGAGGAGATCGTAGACGGTTTGAATACGTGGTCCAGCTCGTCGCAGGTCGGCCTTGACTCGCTTGTCGCGCTCACCGGCGACCGGTATAAGCCAGTCCGATTTCTTTGCCAGGGACGCATTGGGGATCTTGACCATTTTTGCGTTTAAGGCATGGAGAGAGTGGTAGCTTGAGCCGTGGGAGATATTTGATTAGAGAGGGAGTGCTCCTCCTCATGGCCGAGTTTTAAAAAAGGAGTTTTTGGAGGGGAATATGGGATTTGATTGGGAAACAAGTTTGGAATTGAAGAGGTTTTGTTTACGAATGATATACAGCAAGGATTTAGTACACTTTGGGCAAATTTTATAAGAAGTTTAGAGGTTTTGTACAGAATGCCTCCTAAACTTTGTCAATCATACCACATCCCCGAAACTTGCCTCACGTAAGCATTGTGACCAACAACAATTATTTTAGGATAAATTTTCACCAACCTGTTTAGAAACTTAATTGTAAAAATCGATCTATTTCCAAATTAATTATCAAATTCAACCCAGTTTCAGCCAACGCGCTGAAATTGAGTCGAATTTGATGAAAAAAGTTACGAAACTTCACGAGACTTCAAGTCCCGTGAAGTTTAAGCCATCGATAATCAAATTGAGTATGGATACATAAGTTCATGGGACTTGAAGTCCCATAAAAATTCTCAATTCATCCAACTTCACGGGACTTCAAGTTCCGTGAAGTTTCCCAAACCCTACCCCCGTCCCCAACATCGCCGACGGATTCTCATCCAACTGATCAGAGCCTTCGGCCGCGACGACCTCGACGGGTTCGCTCACCACGTCGCCTCTGATCAGTCGCTTCTGGTCAGGCGCTGAGGGACGCGCGGCAGAGCGCCAACGACGGCTTCGAGCTCCTCTCCTTCGAAGCTAAGAAGGCCACCGAGAGGATCGACCGGAGGTTTTTAGTCTCCCACCGATTTGATTCGTTCGCTCGCGCGGCGACGGTGAGGGAGAGGAAGATGGATCAGAAGCTCGGGATTGGGAGACAATGGCGGACCTTCTCGCTTGATTTCTCGAGAAATTGGCCTAGGGTTACGATTTTGTGTAGACAAAAATTGTTCACGGACTTCAAGTCCTGTGAACTTATATACTCCATTATTAGCTTGATTATCGTGCGCTTAAACTTCACGGGAATTCGTAATTTTTTTCACCAAATTCGACCCAGTTTCAGCTAGGTCGAATTTGGTAATTAATATAATAATAGATCGATTTTTATAATTATGTTTCTAAACAAGTTGGTTTTGAAAATTTTCTCATTTACTTTAACTTGCCATATGGGTGACAACTGAAAAAAATTACGCTGATCTGCTAAATATGATATCACTTTCAGACTAAATAGACAATATATAAATGAGGCCCTTCCAGCTAGCCTCATTATGAGAATCCCAATAGCGCAAGGATATGTAGTACGATTTTGAAAGCTTAGAGAGCTTTCCATGATTCGTAAAGTTCACATGCATCTTGTGCAAAACCCCCAGAGTTTAGGGAGATGTTGCGAAATTTGCCATTTTAAGGAAGTACTACGAGGGGATTTAGGATTTGATTGGGGATCAAGTTAAGGATTAGAGAGTTCTAAAGTGTAGCATGGACAATCAAACTCTTGATACACGATTTGAAAATAACCAAAAGGGCGACTGATTGCTTGATTTAAAGGAAGATTCAAAGTGTTCTGGGTATAATATTGTAATTTGTAGTACAACTCTATAGTCTTTATTCCCATTAGTTTACAAGTAAAAGCAGTCTGTGCTCCATTTCTAGTGACTTGTCCGAAAACTACTTCAGCTTTCTAAACAACATTTGAAATTATTGAAACTCTGAACGTACCATTATTTTCAAGTCAACAAAAGTTATATAGCCGGGGCTATGTTTGGATATTTACAATCGATAAGCAAAATTTCGTTGACAAACTTACCAACTGCTATTAAAATTCAGCTATGTATGACGAGTGATCATGTTCTACTGAAAAAAGGGAGCGTACACTTTCTTTCCTCCATACTAGTAACAATCAAGCTGAAAGAAATGGTTCTGTTGAGGTTGATTCTCCCATGACACTAATTGGACGCATCCACGGAGGCTGATAAGCATTGAGAGTGCTGTCATGGTTGGCTTGTGTTCGACCTTCCGCTTCATCAAGTTCATCATTCTCCATTGCGCTCTGACCGCAAATTATAAACAACAAATAGAGTATAATCAGATTTTGCAGAAATTAACTATTCATCTCAAAGTTAGCAGAAAACAGTTCATTAGGAGAACTTTGATGTTTGGGTTATAATGAACTGCACCAACAAGTAACGAAGGCAGCTGCGAAAGAAATTTGGGATATCTTACTGCATATTACACTACCATGAAAGAGGTGTACATAAATTTCAGATCTATGCTTACCTGAATTGCGTAATTCTCAAATGCTGGAAGAAACCGCATCTTGCAGTACTCATTAAACAATATTGTAAGCAATAAAAGAGAGATTGTTGCGATTGAAGCTCCAGGCTTGGATTTCAGCCCAAAAAGACCAATCATAGTAATTTGCATGAGCACAATAGTGATTAATATAAAGTGATGAATGCATGGCCAGTACTGTCCATGTGTCTCGTATACGATCTCATAAACGTCTTGCATCTGCAGATTGAATTTTAAAACATCAGAGCAAGTAAATTTATTCAACACAAAACGTGGATCTGCAGAGTGAATATTTGAGAACTTATTAAGTAAATTTATCAGCAATTCTCCAATTTATAATGGCGTGGCAGCATATGCATATATCCCTAATAAATACGCTACATTTGGCAGTGAGATCATCTCTTTGTAAGAGAAATTATAGTAAACAATAGATAGAAATGAGCGAAATTGTCCCCCACGATGCTGAGACATTAGTGTGGAAAAAGGCAAAAAAAAATATAGTATAAAAATACATAGTATACCTAATCACTTAAAAAATAAAGTAAAAGTTGCACAAAAAAAACAAATTACACTATTTACTAAATTGCTAAAATGCAAAGTCAAGCTAAAATTGATCTGATGAAATATTTTATCTAAGAATAATTTTGGAAGTGGGTGGGTTTATAACTAAATGGGGGAAAAGCTTTGGTTTACAGGCAAATAACCCTTTATGGAAGTGCGTCTGTACTAAAATAAATGCCTAGGGTTAGGGTTAGTAGGATTAAAATTAATTTCATAGAATGTTGAGTCTAAAAATGATATTGGATATAGGTAGATTTAAAAGCAAATGGGGTAAATTTTGGATTTGTTGGAGAAACCCTCTTTGGAAGTGGGTTGGCTTAAAAATAAAAAGGATTAAAAAAAACCTTTGGATTTCCAGCCAAAAATCTTTCTGGAAGTGTGAGCCCTACAGCTGTTCCAAGGGCAAAAAAAAAACAAGTAAGACTTTGCGGTTGGTGTTTTTTAAAAATTAATGGGGATAAACCTTTGTTTATAGAAAAAACAAACTCTGGAAGTGGGTTGGTTAAAAAACAAATGAGGGCAAAACTAATATGCCTTCTGTACTGTCTATAGCATGCTAAATTACCCTCTTTCACTAGATCTACTGCCACCATTTTCATGCTTCATTTTAATAATATTACTTGACATTGTGCAATAAAGTTACATAAAAAACATTTGTATATTTAGAGGAATACAAAAACGGCCTTAAAATAACAGCAGCAATAATCACCAAGTAGAAGAAAAAAGAAGGGAACACACGAGAGGACTTTAAGATAACCAAATAAATAAATGGCAGCATATTGGATAAACTAACCTGGTTGACGTATACTGCATATCCCAGTATAAAATAAACAATAAGAAAAGGAAGCAATAGTGGAGCAATTACTGCATAAACCATTCCAATCAATATTGCAAGTGATACTATCGGAACAACCCTATAATATGGGAAACCGAATAGAAATGGATCCTGCATTGTGTTTCGACCATAAGTATGGGACCTTATGAAATGCCAAAGAAGTAATCCAAGTTGCAAAGCTTCCAGTGAGAACCCTGATAATCCATCAGTCAGGATGTATGTGATGAAGAAATGTGACTGTCAAAAGGGCATACCAACAATGAGACTCCAATTTGAAATGCCAACTAAAATGAACAAACAACTGAACAAAGATGAATCCGGTTAAGGACATGAAAGGAATATAAAGTGTACTAATCAGGTCATGACACAAGCTTGGTCGTATAACTGGAAGCAGTGTCAAAAAATAAGAAAATAGAAAAGTAATGCAAAAACAACTCAAACTTGAAGCAAAAGGAAGCATAAACTTTGAAGAAAGGAAGTATAAGCTTTGAAGCAAGCATAAGCTTTATGAACTCTCATTTTTTAATAAAGAAACTTAATACTATGAGTTTATGACAAAGAGGATTGAAACAATATAGAACTTTTTAAGATGATGCAGTATGTATCCATAACTTAATGAAATTGGATAACAGTAAACATTTCTAGCATTAGCATAAAGGTTTGTATTGTGATTGATGTTTCTATCGGAAAATAGGGCGTGTAGAGATGTCTTATCAGGGAGATTGAAGCTATACTAGATGGCGGAGGTGTAAGTTTTCAGTATGACACTAGTTGCTGAATTAGTCAAGATGCTCATATCACTTGAATATGTTGAGAAAAAACATATATGGGTTTGAAAATTTATATTCAAGCTTCTATTTCAATCCAAAATGCAGGAGCGTAGTCTTCGTACAACATAATATCTTCACAGGAATAGCATAAACTTCATACTTTTAGCACTTTATCTTATAGGCTATGTAGTGCATTTTCACCTCTAAGCTTCAAAGCAAACTGAAGCACACTTTTGGCGAGCACTTTGAAGCATTGCCCGGAATTTGTGGGAGCAGAAATATAACCACTTTAAGCACCCTCAGATTTCAGAAATACACATCTAAGTGAATGGTTGTTGGTGTTAGTAGAAAAAAGAGAGCATATTGTTGACTGGTCAACCTTACTCTTCAGTCCAATCCTATGATGGTTAAAATGTCAAAACATCAATCATAAGGTAAAATATCCTAAACCCCTAGGGTAAAAATGTTCCCTGTGATTGAACTTGGGAGTGAGACATGAAACCTGCATGTCAATCATTTACAGGAAAGTTAGGCAAATTTCCTGTCATGTTTTATATTTCAATTGTGATCTAGGATATATGATGATGAAATAGATTTGATATAGAAAGGGCACATACAATACATTGAGAAGATAAAAGGGGAGCAATTTAGGAAAAAGAAAGAATTATGAGCGTAAGGGAGCATCAGTAAGCTAATCAAATAAAAAGTCACAATATCTAAAAACTTCCAAGGCTTACTTGCGCTGAAACGGCTCTCGCTAGACGGCTAGGGAAATGCTTGGGGTTTGTGAATGATTTTCCAATTTGATCCAGTAAAGACCCTGACAATACACTCAAGAAGAATACATTCCCTACTAAAAAATAGAAAACCATATTGCAAGTTTTTATCTCCTTCTTGCTCTTGGAGACACATCCTTCTAATGAAGTCATTCCAAGCATTGCATAAGGAATTAGATATATGAATCCATTAAGTATCACGCTTGGAAGATACCCTGTCAAAATAGTGCTCAACCCAGGTCTGCAGGACAGAACTGGAAATTGATTAGATCCAAATTCATATCTATTCATTCTATCACTGGAAAAGAAGATGCTTGAAAGAAACTCCTTCATATAGAATGCTCTGTTTTTCCAAAAACAGCATCACGAGTTATGAAAAATCTACAATTTCCAATATTTACTATAGACAATGTATCTGTTCATTTGAATATAGCAAATAACCATCTCCCAGTTGATGTGAATTTATCATGAGCACTCAAAGAAGAAAAGTCATCAACCTAGTACATACATAATACGTCTTTGAGCATCTAAAAGTCCAGAACTATTTTTAGTAATATATATATTAACATACAATGCTTAGACATAAGTTTAAAGTTTAACCCATCATATATTTTTTGACTCCAAGCGAAGCCCCGGCGCAATGGTAAAATCTGTTGTCATGTGACTTGTAGGTCATGGGTTCGGGTCATGGAAACAGTCTCTTGTAAAAAAAAAATGCAAAAGAATGTGCAAGGCAATAACTCATACAACAGACTCAAAGTGGTCCAACCCTCACCTCCCCAGACCCTCAGAAGGGGAGCTTCCTGCACTGGGTTGGCCTTATTTAAACATTTTTTTGACTCTGCAAAAGGAAATAGGCTTCAATCCTATAAAGTACAAAATCAATCTCTTTTCACATCAAATTATTTCGTCATTTATTTTTTAAGATACATATTTCAATGAACTCTTTCCACTAATATATTATAGCAATGAAACGGAATAAATATCTCAAGTATGTTATGTAAACAATTAATTATACTAGGCATGTAGAACGTGTATACCGAGTGTTTTAAATTGAAAACTGTGTTATAAGTTTGAAGGCACATTTGAGAAGTGTGATACATGTATTAGATGAGCATTCAAATAACTATATATGTCCATGATGTGTCCGCATGTCCAACCTGGAGACGGCTTTATTGCACAAGTGTCTGTACCACATAGCTAGTGACTTACAGATCATATGCTAATTGTATCTAGCCCATTGTTAGGGTATTGCATAGTGGTGATTAATTGGCAGAAATCTCTAATATAAACTTGGGAGATGATAGAGTATCCTCAAATATTCATCATGGTTATCAAACACAATAGTCCAATGTCCAATGTCCAATGTCCAATGTCAACTCATCTGCAAAGCCTAATCCTACAATAACATAAATAGTGTTGAATCTAACAATCAAAGAAGCTGCACTATCATAAAACTTTTGAGGAACAGAAATAGGAAATGAAGTATTCTTTAATTTGAAAGACCAAGAGTAGAATCCAAATATATACATTTTTTAACAGTTACATACTCTCGTACGAAGTATATGACTTTTAATATGAGGAATTTGCATGTGCTTTAGCTATAACGCATGAACCAACACCAAAGTGTATCATTAACAGTTCCAAATGTATTTAAAAGGTTAGACATGCAATCTTCAATTTGAGTTTCTCATCTCGAACTTTCAGTCAACTACATGAATCTTTTATTTTTCATTCGACTATATCAACGGTCATATCCTTTGAACAAACAATTATTATATTGTCTTTAATTTCCTCTAACCTTATTTAATAGGACCAATATCTAATCTTTGTTACTTTGTTAATTATTTACTTCTCACTTCCCCCATCAGGGATAACAAATTGGCATTTGTAAACATTGCCCACACCACCTCATTCAGATTCTCCTATATTGTACTTATCCTGCCTCGTACATATTGTCATCCAACTTAGAAATCGCATTCTTGTTTCTGTTGCCCTTGGACTAGGGAGTCTCCCAACTGTCTCAACATTATGACCCATGAGGTACTATCAGTGTTGTTGGCATTTTTCTAGTAAAATTTTCTTTTAGTTTCATGAGTATTCTATAATCACAGGAAAAATATGCACTTCTTTATTTTAACTTCTCTACTTCAACCATTCAGCTTTATTCTGTTAACCTACCCGCTTTAAAATGATTGATCCTTTGTGGGTCCTTCCCCCAATTTTATCTACATGACAGGCTCATTCTTCCTCATATTTTTGCCAAAGTAAACATGAAATATTTATATTCATGCTCTGCTAATTCTAAAGGAATCCTTTAAAAGTCTAAATCTTCTGATCTTCAACTTTTTGTACTCTAGAAATTATCCTTTCTCTTGTCCCATTAATTTATGGCTAATTAGAATTTAAACACCTTATAGTTTCCTCTTCCTCACACTTATATACCCTCACTTGTCTTTGGCAACACTTATGTACCCTGAAGTTTCTAAAAGTTGCACTAATACCTTAAGTTATGCAAACAAGAGAATTTTGCTATGAGTTCTCCCATGTAAGACAAACTAATTTTAGAACCATATTGTATTACTGTTAAAAAACCATAATTCCAGTTTAAACATGCCCCAATATATTTTGAAATAAAATTTGGGTGGGTTTAACAGTAAATTAGTTTCATGAGTATTCTATAATCACAGGAAAAAATGCACTTCTTTATTTTAACTTCTCTACTTCAACCATTCAGCTTTCATTCTGTTCTTGATTATAGAGTGTTAGATTAAATCTATTGGGTATTGGGTTAATGAGATGTAACATGTTAACCATGCCCCTATTTGTATGACTATATATATATCTCTCTAGTATCTGAATAAATCAATTAAGTTAGGGTTTTGCTCTCTTAATTATCTCTTTTTACATGGTATCAGAGCATGAAACCCTAACCCGATCCGGTCATCTACTACTGTCTATTTTTTGATCTGCTCTTAGTCTATGTTTAAAGAACAGATCTTTACTACTCCCTAGCTATTTGATTACTAGCTGCCTATCACTATTGTGTAACAATATCGGAAACAAATCTCTCCTACTCTTCTACATCTTCCTCTGCTGCTGCTGGTCAGACTTCTGCGCCCAAGGTAGTCTTGGGGACTATAATAAAATTGAATGGTAAAAACTATCTACTCTGGGCTCAGGCTTTCCGCATCTTCATTAGCGCTCAGAGCAAACTTCCACATCTTCTGACCTCTCCTCCACCCACCACAGATCCCACCTACATACAGTTCCTGGCTCTCGTCTGATTATTGTGTTATGACGTAGCTCCTCAACAGCACGAAACCACAGATTAGTAGCAATGTTATGTTCTTAACCATAGATTAGTACAGTGTTATGTACGGGAATGAGAAGAATATTTTTCGTGTATTTGAGATTTATGAGCGACTGTTTGCGCTCAAACAGGGAGATAGGTCAGTTTCGAAGTTTTTTGGTGAGTTAAAGGGACTGATAGACGAACTAAAAATGCATCAGCCTGTAGTAGCTAATGCGGCGACGCTGTTGGGATATCGTCGTGACTTGACAGTGTCCAAGTTTCTTTCTGGATTGCACCCTACCTTACAGTCCCAGGTGAGAGAACAGATATTGGGTGGAGATACCATCCTCTAACTGACTGCTACATTCTTCAGAGTCATGCAGATCTTTACTGATGTTTTTTCTGATACTTCTGCACCGTCTCCACCTTCAGTGGATCAGTTTGCTATGTTCTCTAGTAGAGATAGAGGCTGCGATCTTGGTCGTGATTGTGATTTTGTAGGAGGACGTGGCTCTTTTAGTGGGACATGATGATTCTGATAGGGGTTCACGTCAGTGCGGTCATTTTGGGAGAACCAATCATATTTCTGAGAAGTGCTGGAAGAAGTTTGGTCGTCCTCAATGGGCCCAAGTAGCCGATGCCGAGTCGACTCGCTCACCTATTTCTACTACTACTTCTAGTAATCCAGCTGCTACTATTCCTACTGTTCAGATCTCTCAGGCAGATTATGAGAGATTACGTCAGCTAGAGCTCTCTCAGAACAGTCATTCAGCTACTCATGCATCTTCTTTAGGTATGGATGCTTACATAGCTTCTCCTCATGAACCATGGGTACTAGATTCTGGAGCCTCATCCCATATGACTGGTATAAAGGATCATTTTGTCTCTTTACATCTTTCTGATAAGTTTTCCTCTATTCGCATCGTTGATGGTACACTTTTTCCAGTTCTTGGTACTGGAGTAGTTCATGCTACTTCCTCTTTAAAACTAACTGATGTGTTATATGCTCCTAAATTCCCCGTTAGCTTATTATCCATTAGCAAGTTTACAAAGCATAATAACTGTAAAGTCACACATTCTTTCCTTCTTATTGTGTTTTTCAGGACCTAACAACTGGGATGATAATTGGTTCGGGGCATGAGAGAGGATGTATGTACTATTTGGACGACAGTGTGCCGGGTGCTGGTCTTGTTACAGCACAGCCTGATTCTACCTTATTGTGACACTAACGTCTGGGTCATCCTTCACTACAAAAACTTAGATCGATAGTTACTATTCAGTCTTCTCTTTCTTCTTTAGGTTGTGAGTCATGTGAACTGGGTAAGCACCATCGTGCTTCTTTTCAGAGTCGTGTCGATAAACGCAGTAGTCTTGTGTTTGAGTTAGTTCATTCTGATGTATGGGGTCCTTGTCGTATTCCTTCTGTGAAGGGTTTTTGATATTTTATTATTTTTGTTGATGATTTCTCTCGCATGACTTGGCTATATTTGTTGAAAGAGATGTCCGAAGTCTCGCATGTTATTGAACTTTTTTATAATGAAATAAAAACTCAGTTCTCTACTTCTGTTCATATTTTCGTACTAATAATGCTTTGGAATACAAATTTTGTGCTCTTAATGGTATTATTCATCAAACTTCATGCTCTCACACTTCACAACAAAATGAAGTTGCTGAGAGAAAACATAGACATATTCTCGATATTGCTAGAACACTGATGATACATATGAATATTCCAAAGTACTTATGATCTGATGTTGTCCTCACTGCCTGTTATTTGATTAATCGAATATCTTCCTCTGTTCTTGATGGTTTGATACCATTCCACTGTTTTTATCCTGCTAAAAAACGTTTTTTGTGATTCCTCGAGTTTTTGGTTGTACGTATTTTATTCAGGATTTGACTGCTGGTTTGGATAAATTCTCTTAGGTCCATTAAGTGTGTTTGTTGGATACTCACGTACTCAAAAAGGGTATAGATGCTATCATCCGATCACCATGAGATATTTTGTTTCTGCTGATATTACCTTCATTGAATCTGTCCTATATTTTTCCTCTGGTTCCACTATCTCTGTCAGTCCACAGATACCACTACTTTCTACGGCTCCCACTACTATTTTGGTATCTTTTCCTGTGGCTACTGCACCAAAGTCTCTACTGACATACTCTCGCCATCCTAAAGTACATACACATGTCTCTGCTCCTGCTGACTCTTCTTCTCCAGCTGCAGGTTCGTCTCATGTCGAGCAGCATATCTCTTCTGACTTAGATGTTCCTATTACTCTTCGTAAAGGTAAACGGTCTTGCCCAAAATATCCTCCCTTTTTTGTCTCTTATGACCGTCTCACCCTATCCTTTCGTCAGTTTGCTTTGTCCTTATCCACTATATCTTTACCCAGGTCACATGAGGAAGCTTTGTTAGTACCCGTCTAGAAGCAGACTATGGATGAGGAGATGAATGCACTGCTTTCTAAAGGGACTTGGGATTTGGTCTCTCTACCTACTGGAGCGACTGTGGTTGGCTGCAGATGGGTGTATACCTTAAAATATCTTCCTGATGAGTCTGTTGATAGATATAAAGCTCGTCTGGTTGCTAAAGGATATACCCAGACATATGGTATTGATTATTTTGAGACTTTTTCTCTTGTTGCGCGTCTCAACTCCATTCGAATTCTCTTCTCTCTGGCTGTTAATCTGGATTGGAAGATGCATCAACTAGATGTGAAGAATGCTTTTCTTTATGCTGATTTGGACGATGAGGTTTATATGGAGCAACCTCCTGGGTATGTTGCTCAGGGGGAGAATATTATCTGCAGACTGAGAAAGATCATCTATGGGTTAAAATAGAGTCTTCGAGCTTGGTTTGATAAATTCAGCAAGGTTATTTTTAGTGTTGGTTTCCAACGCTGCCATTCTGATCACTCTGTCTTTTTTTGACGCACAACAACTGGTTTGGTTATTTTAGTCGTTTATGTTGATGATATTCTGCTCACTGGGAGTGACTCTGTTGTCTTAGTAGAGACTAAGGAGTATCTAAACCGTCATTTTGTCACTAAGGACATGAGAAAGCCAAAATATTTTCTTGGGATTGAAGTTGCATGTCAAAGGCATGGCCTGTTGTTGTCCCAAAGGAAGTATGTGCTAGATTTACTAGAAGAAGCATGTCTCTCGGGATGCAAACCTTCAAACACTCTAATGGAGGCAAATATTAATTTGTGACGTGATGATACCTCTCTACTAGATGTTAGACGATACAGGAGACTGATTAGTAAACTAATCTATTTGACAGTTACCAAACCTAATATTATCTTTGCAGTAGGTGTACTGAGTAGGTTTATGCACAAACTTAGATAAGTTCATTGGACAGCTGCTCTGAAGATTTTGGCATATATCAAGATAGTGTGTCTCATATTCACTACATCCTCACAACAACTTGATGATATTCTTACCAAGACTACTTCTTCAAAGGTGTTTTCTACTATATGTGACAAGCTGGGCATGGTGGATTGATATTCTTACCAAGACTACTTCTTCAAAGGTGTTTTCTACTATATGTGACAAGCTGGGCATGGTGGATATTTATGCTCCAGCTTGAGGGGGAGTGTTAGATTAAGTCTATTGGGTATTGGGTTAATGGGTTGTGACTCGTTAACCATACCCCTATTTGTATGACTATATATATATATCTCTAGTATCTGAAAAAATCAATTAAGTTAGGGTTTTGCTCTCTCAAATATCTCTTTCTACATAGATGATACCTGCAATTAGTTAGGTGGAAGACTAATACTATTGGTTAATTCAAGTAGGTTCCACAATTAAAAGTATCTTTATATCATTTAGATAATTAATATCATGCATGGGCTCAGATGAGTGAGAGGATTTGATTGGCAAGTTGCAGAGATTTCTGATAATCATGGATGTAGAGGATCTCTATTCGGATTCTCTACAATCTTGATTGTAGAGGATGCCTACAAGAGGGGCTGCTTGATTCGTGGATTGTTTTTTATACATGCTATGAATCTAGCCTTCAACCTGAGAGGACATATGTTGGAATGTAAAATTATAAACCTCAGCCCTCACCACAACTTTAGAGTTCGGTGTTTTTATAGGATTGATAGTTTATATTTTACCACGTAATGGAGATATAAACACTAAAATACAGATGTGAACCTTCACTCACACAGCGACATTTTTTTTTCAATCCTCTTTTAAGTCGTGACTGACGAGATTTGACCCTTGGTTTCTCTGATACTATGTTTGAAGTCCCGCCATTGTACCAAAAACTCTAAAGTTGTGGTAAGAGTTATAATTTTATATTATAACAGAAAGAGTTATCAGGGTACGAGGAAAAGTATCTTGAGAAAAATTCTTCATGACATAAGAAACAGATGAACGTTCAAAGATTATGGAACTTTTTTATATGTCATACGGTTTGCCTCTGTATCTCTACCTTCACCGCTTCTGATGACCACATAGGATAAGAAACCAAGATGTAATTACTGATTCAAAATGGATACCCAGCTCTGGTAATATATTATAAAGAGATACAGACAAACTGAACCGACAAATGTACAAGTGGATCATACAAGAGAAAAGAGCAGTTACATAATATAAAGAATTTTTCATTCAAAAGATAAGAAAATAAAATGCAAAGGATAGCAAACTTACATCAACTGTACAGCTCTTGCTGGAGGGAACCACTTCTTTAATTTCTCAAACTGTACAATTCCTTGAACTGCAGTAACAGGAATGGCAAAGAAAACTATAAGCAGAAATGATGCTACAAAAACTGCAATTTTGTTAAGCACCAAGAGACGATAAGGAATTGCCAAATTGTTCCACAAGACATTTCTTGGTTCTGGGGCAAATTCTGTGATCCATAGGAGTGGATGCACATGCTGTTGTGTCTGAGCAGCTAAAGCAGCACCCCATCGTGATTTAAATGATACAAAAGCAGCAGGCAACTCCTGCAAATAGTTCAATTTAACCCACATTTCATTCAATTGCAACAGCTTGCAAATGAACAGCTTCTTAGTATATCTATATCACTCAAAACAACATGTGGCATAGATGCTTCTACCATGAAGCCGTGCTTCTACCATGAAGCCGTGTCATACACTTATCACAGAGGTATCATGATTGCTGAACACTTCTCATGAAGTTATAGAACACGACACCTGTAAATGTGCCATTGCTCTTTGAAATATGTTATTTAAAACTTTTTACCAGTCTCATCAACATACTCATATCCATGCCACCCTGGGTATAATATCATAATAATGATAAGGTGCTTTCAATCAGCTAACACACAAGGTATCAACCCATGCATTCAAATCCTACGACCGCCAGCAGCAACAAAGTCAGACGTTTCAAACTAACACAGCTAGCTATTAATAATAAAGGGAATAAGAAATCATTGGACTTGTCAAAATTCCATATTAAAGCCCTTTCCACTGAGGGTTCATGAGAGTTTCTCAGAAAGAAAAATGGATGTTTCAGTTTATCAGACAATAGTCACGATCAAGAAAAATCAGTACGTTGAGGAACATCGAGCCATTGGAGTTATGCACAAGAAGTATTAAATGGATTATGGTTGAAACGTTAATCTAAAGAATAGTACATATGATAAAAATATAATACTACAAAACATAAGGTTCGCAAAATTTTAATGAACCTTTAATGATTGAAGGATAAAAAAAGAATACCTTTCGTTTAAGAATGTTTTCACATTGTAAGAAGCGAATCTTTTGACATACTTCTTGAAGCTCTTTCTCATTCACCCCTATGTCTTCAGTATTCAATTGGAATATATCAAAAATAGAGCCTTTACTTCGCTTCTCCACTGCAATTTGCCGTAATTTTTGTATCCTTCTTTCAATTGAAGATGCCTGATCCTGCACATATTAATCTCTATTAGCCCTTATAAAGAATGATGTGAAGTAGAAACAATTAATGCTTTACAGTTCTACATGCTAGTTTTCCTTAATTGTGATGCTTTACTAAAATCCCAACAGATGATAAATGGAGAAGTTCACACTTTCTGTTTCTACCCATAAAAAGAGACAACAAACAACAATAACAAAGCATTTATATCAAGCTTTTGCAATGAGCTACATGAACATACAGCTCAGCTAAGGGACGGGAATAAGACTAATTACCTACATAGATCAACAAATACAGTTCATGCTAATGAGTATTAAGTAACTGGGTCATATTAAATGGATAGTAAAATAAATTCAACACTGTAGGTGTGATACGCAAAGATTTTACTTCTGTAGAACATTGATAGCAGGGTCACAAGGGGGAGAAAAGTAAGGTGTGTAGTATTTAATTTTCACAAAAAAGTAACTTTAAAGTAAGAAAAGATCGTGCATGCAAACAAGAACACCATTCAGGCAGCGATCATACACTAGAATAAAAACTGTCTTTGGGGAAAAAATTATAACTTCCATTTGGACCCTTTCTGAAACTCAACTTCCAGGGGCAAAAAGATGAAACTCGCCAGATTGTCAAGGACATTAATTTGTGTTCATAACCACTAGAAATCAGCTTAAAGAAGAATACAAAGAAATAAGATGATATAGAAGTATTGCGCCATACCAAAGTTACAAATATTTATGTCCACTTGTGAAACCAAAACTTGTGTTCAGTATAAACATAACTAAAAAAAAGAAACAAAAAAAGAACTACTTCAGAAGAAGAATGTTGAATATCAAAATGTAGTATCAGCACCTTTCTTCACTCTTCAAAATGTAATATTAAGCATCCTTGTTTAACAAAGTCAACATTGCATTGTTGTTCACACATTATCAGGGACTACAATACTTGGAACTGAGAGGGGCCTAAATGTGACCAGGTAGCGGATCCGCATGCGATGAAATCCTCTGAGTACTGGAAATTGAGTCAGGCCCACTATTGACAAGAGGACCACAAACTCGGCATGGCTAGCTAAACAGTCACATCTCTTGGAACCTAAAGAAGGTTATTGACTCACACAAATAACATGAATCCGTAACCTTTGTGTATGATTCAGTCTAAGCAACATAGTTGCAAATTAAGTTACTACAGAGCATTAAGTTAGAACCATAAAAGTGAAAAGATAGTCTGCCTTCAAAGTATAGATAAAAAATTTAAGTTGAGAAAATTGAAGAAATACAACTCAGCATACTCAGTAGAACAGTACACGTACCCATAATTCCTCAACATATTTTCCTTCGTATACCATTTGATAAGATTGATAAGTATAAGGATGATGCTTGGAGAAGAAATGTTCAACAGAACATCCACGAGCCTTATGCTCTGTACAAATAGGAACACCTCGAACTAGCACGGTGAACTGATCAGGTCGATGCCTCTGGTTAGCTATGTGCTGAATTCTTCTATGTAAAACCCCTTTATACTCCTGAAGTCAAAACGTAAGAAAATATACATCGAAACAGTTAAAATAAACTATAAATTTCATAAATTCTTAATGACAAAGGTGCAAGTCACAAAACCACTTAAATTTTCATCATAAAATGCTTAAGAGGATGAACATCATGAATAGTAAAATTACTCAATCAGACAATGCAACATGTGCTTCTAAGTATCAGTGCAGGAAACTGCCTATGGGTTGCTCACTTCAGTACTCTCTCTATGTATTTAGGGGTGTTTCAGATGTGTTCTTAGGTAACTGCAAAGGAGTTGGTCTAAAATCACATCATCTGACAGATGCTTCACATTGTTGAACATTATGTCCATGGACTAAAACAATTATACATAAAAAAAATCATGTGATTTGAATATAACCAACAGAATGGCCTATTCTGAAAGCATGGTTTAAGGCATCATAGTTGCATGGTATTCCCATGAATCTTTATAGATTAATATCTTAAGATTTGGAGATCATGAAAAATAATGCTGGGAAGGTATTGTAACCCCTATTAGAGTAGCTGAATATGATGCACATTCACAGAACACTATAACATTTCAGCATCTCCATTAACTGCCATGACAAAAAAGGACAAAGGTAGAAAGACTCTGAACGACGCTCATGTTTGAGTGAGAATGGACAATAAGACCACCTAGGTAAGCACAGGAAAGTTGAACCATATATAGGATGATAGGATAATGAAAGAAAACAAAAGAGGATGGCCATCGCTGAAGTGATATTACATATATTGTATAATAGAAAGCTAGATGGATTTAAAGAATATTCCAGGAATCTTTGTCTACTACTAAACTTTGCTATATTGCTTCTTTTTTCCCTTTCATATGGAGAATCTGCCAGTGGTCAGGTTGAGGCCATGTTTGACCAATTTGGGAAATGTTCAGCTAAATCTGTTTCTGCTTTGCTTTGTTCCACGTGTGTCATCGATCAAGATAGGACCATAAACAACTCTCATTAACTTTTTCTTTCCCTCAGTATCCTTCATTGCAATTAAAGATGTTTGACTTAGTGTCCATGAATCTTTTCCCTCCATTGTCTTTTGTAGAAAAATGATTTGCACTCTCTTAATTAATACATGTCAAGCATTTAACACTGAGGCAATTCTTCAATTCCCCCCAAAAAAAAGTTATTACACAGGTGTTAGGGGATTAATTTTCAATTTTTCCTTGAACGTGAGGGTCATCTTCCCTTCATAGAGGTAAAGAATCAGTGAATATCTTAGCCAGCCACCTTTCTTCATATTTATTATAAACGGTTCATGATTTCAACTGAGAAGAGTGTAAAAAAAGTGGATGGTCAAAAAAAATGTTGCTTGAACAATGAACATTACATTCATAACTAAGAGCACTGCATGTTTACAAACTTATGCCCTTCATACACAACCTAGAACTTCTCTTACAGAAGAGGACCTGCTACTAATAGTATATAAAAGAAAATAGGCCAGAGTTTCTCCGATGACTTTGCAACAAGACAATCCTAAACAGGTAGAAAGGATTGAAGAAGTCAAGGATGCCAGGAAAGAACAGTGTTAGCTGGAAACAGGTGTAATGGTCAGTGTCAGATACTGAATACGAACATTCGATTACTCTAGTTCCAAATAACAGATTCAACCACCTGACCTTGAGTTTGCAGACATGTTATTTTCATGTACCATCTTCAATAAGACTAATAACAAATTCCATCTTTTCCCAAAATAATATGAAACAGCAATGTCTGAAAGTCCCTACTAGCATAGATGTTGAGACCTACTGCCTAACCAGAATGAACCTGCACCAGGTTAGCGATTACAAACTACCATGATAAATGAATTTGAAATCTCCATATACACATGCAGTCTTTATATATGTCTATGAATCTATTTTTGCCAAAAAGCGCGAAAACTTTTCCTATACTGAAAACAATCTGTAACTTAAATGCTGTACAATGATATGAGAAGATAGGTCAGAAACTCACGATGTATAGCAAATAAAGTACATAAAATGAGATAAAGCATAAGCATGAAAAATGCACCCAGAGCCTGCAAGAAGTTTAAAAAGAAACATCCAATTTAGCAACAGAAGTAAATATTCTTCAAAGTCCATAAAAAATAGGTGCCATAATCATACAACGAGAGTTAGGATAACTGATCAACAAGATGATGTAAGATAGTAAAATTTAATAGGAAACACCATAATGGATCAATCAGAGCAGTGTAGTTCCTTTTGTCTGGCCGCCTACTTCTTACACCAGCAATTAAATATTGTATGGTAGAAAGCTAGATATGTTTAGAAAAATTCCAAGAATCTTTAGGCTAAACGTTTCCATGATATTCCTACTGTGGCCTTTGTGTGGAAAATCTGGCCGTCGATTCCTTTTGTGTTGTATCGAGGCGCCTTTCGACCAATTTGGTCCAATTGGAACAAATTTGTCATCTTTAACTCATGGATGAATCATCAATAAAATTTTGAAAAAGAGACCCTTCAAGAACTTCCTATTTCCCTTCTAAATCTTGATTGCAATTATTTCACTTCCTCGTGCTTTGTGTGATCCAAATAATTCTTTGTAAACTTTTCATTCCCTCAATGTCCATAGTGATTAATTTGCTGTATCATACCTAGTACATCTTACTAGTAGATGTTACACTATTTTTATGATTATTCCATATTATTCTTGGGAGAGTCGCTAGGTATTATTTTCCATTTAGGATGTTAGCACCGTATAGATTAGTTATCCATGTTTGGATCTTCCTGAGAAATTTCAGCACTGCTCTTAATTGCAGAATCCAAAGAGGAATTCCTATTTCAATTGGGTGTTTTTAGCCCTTTCTTTGAAAAGGTTTTGGCAGGGGACCAAAAGTTTGTTCAATATCAAAATTCCAATTATGTTGAAAACTGTTCTCGACATGGAAATATTGGTTATTATATAAAAAACGCCCTAGCTATAGCATACTGTCATACTAATATCACATTCATTATTGGCAAAACAGTAGCTATGCAAAAACCTGATAAAAATTTTCAAAAAAACATTGAAGTTGATAAACAGTCAATAATTACTTGATGAGACTGTCAAACTCAGGCTTGTTTGGCAACTCATCTACTAAATTAGATAAGGCCACTAACTTGGATAAGGGAATTGTGTTTGGCAAAAGCTCGTAGAAGATTGGACTATCTTTTTTAGTTCAAGAATGAGGCCCTTATCGAGGTTATCTTTGGACCACCTCCGCCTTGGTTCAATCCTAACCCGGTTAAGACCGTAACTAGATTAGTGTGAAGTTGCCAAACACACCCTGAGTCTTCTTGCAATTAAATTTTTTAAATTGATCTTAGTTACTTATAAAGAGCGTGAACATTGTTTGGTAATGGATAATTCTATGTGCAAAAATATGCTTTCTTGTTTGTATACTCATTTCAAGATGCCACTGATGCATCAAAAATTGTATTTTTGCTTTTAATAAATTGTCATTTAGAGAATTAGACTATTGAAGGGGGAACAGTTCACTACCTATAATTGGACCAGATGAAGTATGTTTTGTTTCTGCAGGAAGACTGAGAACTGCAGCATGGATACAATCATAAAGGAAACAACTGTCGAACAATATATACTTATATACTTTTGTTCTAGAGATAAAGTAACCATGTATTTACATAAAAGCTTCAATTTGCATAGAAGTAGCATCCACCTGTTAGATCCTCTTTCCACATTAGAAATCGTAAAATGATCCACATGAGATGAGACTTCATTCATAGATAAGTCTTCCGGACTGGTATAATTTACTGGTACAAGAATCACCAGCCCGATGAAAGAGCAGACCGAAAAAAATTTGATGCTGTGTATAGATCAATTATCATAATTAGGAAAGTGCAGTAGGTTCAAAGTAAGAAAAACTTAGAAAAATCATAGACAAGAGAGAGATAAACATGAAAAGAAGATCGTCCATTTCGATTAAATAGAAATATAAAAAGACCAAGTGAACATACACTCTACAGAAGCATATATATCTACTATAAAAAGAGATCTAAATATCATTAATCATCAAAGTAAACTGAACTTATACATTCTTTCCGTTGGACTAATTATTGAATGTTGGTTGAAGTTCATTTGATCGTCCTTCAACATCAGTTTTCTTTTCATTGGAGAGTGCACTGCGATATAGAAAGGCTAGGATGTGATCAACATCAATCCATTTGAATTATGTGCCTTCTGAAGCAAGGCCTAGTTCCCAAACAAGAGCTTAAACAGAGAAACTGGTAACTTCTACTACTACCTTTGGTAACCTCCACTACTGCCTGTCACCATTTGGTCGCAATGTGAAAGAGAATATTGATTACTTTTCATCAAAAAGCCACACTGTTCAGGGCATAAGTATAAGATGTATAAGGCTACAAATATAATGTGTATGCTTTTAGAATTTTTCACAACACAATCGTGTTCATATCCTTATGTCATAAGCTTTTCATATGATAGTAATCAACTGAGGCAAATTAGTTTTCCCTCTATGTCCTGTCAAACTTGCTTGTTTTATATTTCTGTACCAAGATTTTCAGGGTGTTTTAGTTAATGTTCTTCAATCCATTGTATTAATCTATAAAGGAATCTATCTATTAATAGATACAATATATCTATCACCGTAATACCATAGACTAAAGCATCCACCACTAGTTGCATGCATGACAAGTAGGAGATGTTTTAGTCTACCATTATTATTAATTACTTCGAATGTTGCAATCTATTACTATTGTTCTTTTGCAAGGAATATCTGTGTTACCAATTGTTTGCAATGGTTGCAAATCTATTTACTATTATACCATTGGCTTAGTTGCAGTTTGATGCCCCAAAGTTCCACCCATTACCCAAAGTTCCTTTTTGCCCGTTTGATATACAATGTTTTGGAAAATAGAACTTTGAGAAGCTCTCTTGGGCCATTGTTTATTTTTTGTTTAAATCAGATCATGTGCTTAAGCGTGACCTGGTTTGGATTTTATACCCTGTAATCATTATAAATGTCCTTGAAATGGGAGCAAATTTGCCAAACACCAGTCACACATCTTGTTTTGGATGTCCACAGCAACTTTCCCACACACTTCAGGGGCGTTATAATGACTAAAGGAGTATTAGAAGTCAAATCAGATAACTTATTAAAGCAATCCCCAAATGAAGGGTACCAAAGTTCAATGTTCTGAAACTCTGGGGTATCAGATCTAAAAGTAAACTTTAGGGTATCAAAGTTCAAAATAGATGAAACTCTACGGTACCAAAGTGCAACTAAGCCTTATTCTTTTTGAAATAATGTATATCTTATCTACTATTAAATCTGCATTGCTGTTATTATATTAATTAGAAATAGTATCTATCCTATTAATTTTTTGGGATGGATGCATATCAATCGCTATTCTTATTATTGTTAGAATCAATATCTATGTTATTAACTATGTCTCTCTTTACCACATGCTCATCATCTCTTCACCCCTATCAAACTTTCACCAATTGATTTGCTTCATTAATTTCCCATTTCACCTTGAGCCATATCTTTGTTGAATTCCTGTTAAGCTACAAACGCTCAGTTAGTTAATGCCTCAAAACCATTAGGTGAGTTTGGATAGAGTTCTTTAAGAGGGGAGGGAAAGGAATAGGGAGGTTAGGATGTTAGCTATCCAAGTATTGTGTTTGTTTACAAATATTAATTAGCAAGGGGAATGTAGGGGAGGGTTAAAAACAAGCAAAGCCACTCATTTTCCACCCTCCTAAAGTGGATGGACTGGGAGGGGAGGATTGAATTTAAGTCAAAATTTCTCAACATTCCAGTATTGTCCTCAGAGAAATAAAGAATGCTTATATGTATTATTTCTTCAAAATGATATATTATTCATGTAGATTTCCTTCCATTTTCATTCTCTACTCTAAACAAACAAACATTATAGTATATTCTCTCTTCTCCTTCTCGTCTATCCGAACACAATTAACTCCATTCCATCACCTCCCTTTCCGTTTCCTCCCCTTGGGATTACCTCAATCATTTCCCTCCCATATCACGTTGTACACAAAAAAATAAGGCCCCGTTTGGCAAAGGGTTAAGGAAGAGGGATTAAGGAGAAGGATTAACATAGTTAGCCGGCCCATTCAATAATCTGAAGGACTAAATTATTAACCTGTTATAAAAGTTTTATCTTAACCCTTATGATCATTTGTAGTGTTTGAGAATAACAAGGATTTTGACTATTTCCTTTATAATTAGAAAGGTTAACTCTTAATCCTTCTAAATAGGAGTATTAGTAAACTCATTATTTTAAGGGGTTAACTCATTTTAGTCCCTCTAGAGGGGTTAGTTTAACCCTTCTATATTTTTTATTTTTATGTTTGACAAATTATGGAGGGTTAACTTACTTTAACCCTTGTATAGATTTTATGTGTTTGACAGGTTAAGAAGGGGTTATCACTTAACCCTTTGCCAAACGATACCAATGGTTTTTTTTTAATATTTGTTCCCTAAATGTTTTTTTATTTTTAACAAGTCCCTCAAATCTCAAATATTTTAAAGTCCCCCAAAATATATAAGTATTCTTAAATAAGTCCCCAATCTCGTATATATTTTTAAATAGGTCGGTCATATAAGTTCTCTTAAATAAGTCTCTACAAGTTAAAAATGGTTAACTCTAGATTAACTAAACTAGCTTTTCCCTCATCTTCTCTATATAGTTACGCCTGATACATACCTGCGCCTTAGTGCAATAAAGACTTCTCAACAAATAAAAAGCATGGGGAGGGGGAGAGAGAGAGAGAGAGAGAGAGAGAGAGAGAGAGAGAGAGAGAGAGAGAGGGAGGGGGGAGAGAGAGAGAGAGAGAGAGAGAGAGAGAGAGAGAGAGAGAGAGAGGAGTTTCACGGGGAAAATGTCTAGGAAGAGTAGGGTAAAACATGCAAGATTAATGGAATTTAGTTAACTTCGAGTTAAGTTAATAGTTTTTAGAGCTTTTTGTTTTTAGGTCCATTTGTTTACGTAGCTTTATCTTTAAACCCAAGTATTATAAGTTGTATCTTTAAACCCAACTTTCTTTTTGTATTTATCTTTAAACCCAATTCCTTAAACCCAATTTCCTTATATAGGGGACCCACATATGAGAGTATTATATTTTAGAATTGGGTTTAAAGATAAATACAAAAAAAAAAGTTGGGTTTAAAGATACACCTAATAATTGTTGGGTTTAAAGATAAAGCTAGGTAAACAAATGGACCTACAAACAAAAGCAGACTAATTGAAGAGAACTTATAACATTTGGAGGACTTATTGAAAATAAGTGAGTTTATGGGGGCTTCGTCAAGAATACTTATAGATGTGGGCACTTCGTTAAAATATTTTAAAATATTTGAGATTTGGCCAAAATAACGACAGAATAAGGATTAGCTAAACATCCCATTCTAAAATCAAACTATGAACGATTCAAAAACCTCCAGTTTCGCCCCCTTACCCAAACTTGAACAGCCGAAGCACGACGAGCGCATCGAGGCCACATCGCTGAAGAATCTCGTCCTCAGAAACCCTAATCGCGCGGTAGATCCAAGAGATTGACGGCCGAAGCCTATTCAGCGAGAATCTCCGATCGAGAGGGAGGTCCTCCTCCGCCGCCATCCGCCGCGGGAAGTACACCGGAGCTGTGCACGGCTGCTTCTTGAGGACGCCGAAGAGGGAGAGGACGACGATGGCGAGGCCTATGTTGATCCCCGCTGAGGTTAGCAACTCCTCGGCGTTCATTTGATTTTGATTTCTTCCAAGTTTTTAGGGGGGGAAAGTTGGAATTTTTAATTTTTTGTTTAGGGGAAGGAAGAAGAGAGTGAGGGTGTGCTGTTATCGAGGGTCATTTGTGAATACATGGTGAGGACGTGAGTGGCGAGAAGTTGTCGGTTGTGATTTTGGAATTGTTCGTGGGAGCAGGATTAGTTAATGATGTAGAAAGAGGTTATTGTATCGAAAGTAGGGTCATTTTGACACGTGTGGGGCACGTGGGGTTCTGCATGAGAGCGCGAGGGACGTAACGGCTAATCTCGTGTCGTCGTTTTGGACTGGGAAAAGATTATTTATAGTAAATAATTTTGTGACTAAATAAAACGTTTATGATTAATCTAATATCATTTTTAAAGCACAATATTTAATTAATACATTAATCAGTAAATAAAAATCTTTAGGAATAAAAGGAAACATGATAGTACATCATTCATCAATTTTAAAATTGGTGTTGGTGGTACACATAAATTTATCGTTTTCCCCCTATATAACTCCATATGATTTCTTTCCTCTTGCAAAGAGATCGGGTGATTCTTCTGTATGGTATGAACCAATCGATGATCAGATGTTATGCGATTTGATCTAATATTTTAAAGTTTTGTGTGAAAGCTTCCTATATAATGAATTTACAATGAGAACACTTTTGTCACGTGCAAAGACATGAACACTAAAGAGTCAGTTTGATATTGTTTTTTTTAAGTTGTTTCTGCTTAGGGGCTATTTGGTTCGTTTTTTAACTCGGTGGAAAAGTTTTACACCGCCTCCACATCAGACTTTTCGTGGCCACGTAGGATATAAGATTTCTGTCGGGTTTTTTTCCCATCTTTGGTTTGCTAGGGGTGAAGAAGGAAAACTCGGTGAAAATCGCCGTCACATCAGATTTTTTTCTCTCCCCCAATTCATTCCTCAACCTCGTGAAATCGACGAAAACTACAGCCACGTCAGCTTTTTGCCATATAAACAAAAGTTTTCCCTTTTTTTTCCATACGAACCAAACACAAGAAAAATAAATACATTGATTTCCCACCATTTTTTTGTGCGAACCAAAGCGAAACAATCTATTTCTTGGAAAAGTTTGGAAAACTCAAAACTTGTGTTTTTATACATGGAAATGCATTTCCCTATATCTAAGAAACGAACCAAACAACCCCTTATTAAAAAAAAGTCAATAATGATATTTGGTAAATTTTGTGAGAACTATCCCGAAAAAATCTATTTTTTGTACCATATATACTCTCTAGCTTTTGATAATATTATCTTATCTGTTCTTCAAGTGTCTTGTCTATATTGGTATAATTTCATTTATAATGATCTTTTAGGGCAATTTACCAAACATCGATCATAACTGCTTGCTTTGGAAGGAGCTTATGATATTAAGAGATGTTAGGGGTAGTCGCTCAGCGTGACTGCCCACTGACACTCACGTTCTTATGCAGCCCTTTTATTCTATTTATTTGTTTTTGCTAAATTTAAAGTTTATATAGATTAGGTATAATTCACAAAACATCCTCTAGTTTACCATTTTATGAGATAAGCCCCCGTAACTTTAAAAACATCACGGAAAGCCCTTTCATTTCGGCATGTTTTAGATACCCCTAACGTTTAAAATGTCACCAGAACACCCTTAAGTTTAAAATGTCCGTAAAACCCCTTAAGTTTGGGTTGTTTCGAAAAAACAAAAGCTCCTTTAAGTCTAGTCGGTTTTACATATCCCCTATAAAGTTCAAACTGCCATTAAAACCACCTTAAGTTTGGGTTATTTTAAAAAAAACTCCTCAAATATTTTCAAGTTTTTAACCATCCAATCATGGTGTCAGATGAACTGTGAAAATATCAAAATCCATACTTCAAATTGACAAAGTAATTATGTAATTAAATTATTTAATCAATAATTAAATTAATAGCCCTAACTTAAGGAGTGTTGTGAAAATTACCCTTATAATTTATTAAAAAGGCCTGGGAAATATTATTTCTATTAGGATATTTACTCATTTGGAATCACGTATTTTTTGCATACACAGTCAAATCTAACATGTTAGCTGGGAGTCATCTGACAAAACATAATGGGATCAAATGAAATTTTTAACTTTGGGGGAGGGGGTGGTTATCTCAACATAAGGGGGATTAAAATAAAATTTGCAAACTTCAAAGGGTTATCTCAAAAAAGATCAAATCTAAAATTTTCACATGCATATTTTCAACCTTTATTATATATTCTCTTGTACAAAGAGCGTATCATAAAAGAACTCTTATAATAGGTTAGAAATATTTAAATATGCTTAAATGAATAGAAACACTTACGGTAGGTTTGAAATATTAAAGGCTTTTTTTCCAATATTTGGCCCAAATCTTTCATATTTTAAAATTAAGCCACCAAATCTTTAAGCATTTTGAAACAAGTCCTCCAAATATTTCAGTATTTTAAAAGTAGTCTCCCAAATCTTCATATCTAAAGTTATTCTCCAAATATGTTAAGTGTTTTGAAATTAGTCTCTCATATCTTTCAGGCTGATGCTAGCTAGAGGGACTAATTTTTAGCGGACTAACCTCAAAATATAAAAACTTAGGGGATAATTTCAAAAACTCATGTACATATAATGGAGACTACGTGCATTCAAAATAAAGAGATGTGAAGAACTAAATTCAAAATCTACAACACATGGGAGAGATTGGGGGATTAATATCGAAAACCTCCAAAAATTTAGGGTTAATTTCACACCCCTCAACTTGGGGGTATTGCAAATAACCCTCCTTGATTTTGTTTATTTCACTTAGGCCTCCTAAATTATGGGGTCTCGCAAAATCCTCCTTATACTTTACCTTATCTCATATAACCCCATTGCCTGTAATTTTTCCAAGAAAAAAAAAATTCTTGGGAGAAAAAACTCAAATTTTTGGGGAAGGGAATATGTTGCACGTAAATGACAAGCTAGCGACAAAGTTTGAGAGTTTTTTCGCTCAAAAACATTTTAGTTATTTGCAAATTACATGAAGGTGGGGTTGTGTGAAATAAGATAAAGTTCAGGGGCTTTTGTAAGACACTCAATGTTTAGGAGGGTTATGTGAGATAAATAAAGTTTAAAAAGGTTAATGTG